AAAAGTCAGCTGGCGCCCGATAACATTTTCTCGTTTGTCCGTTTTTTTTTGTTTATTCGGTTTTCGAGGATNGCTCGTTTACACGAGCCCGCCCCAGCGGCAGCTAGGCGGCGTGCCGGTCGCACCACCCAGCTGAGAATATCCGCCGGTTAAACGTAGTTTTACGAGAGAGTTGGACCCGAGCAGCCACTGCGATGACATCCCCGAGAATATCTGCAACGATCGAGAGAGTTGGTGGAGACCATCACCGCGGGCCCACATGAGGAACATGGTAAGTACATTTTTATTCACCATGTGCACTCTCTCCCGAGAAGAGAAGTACATCTATTCCCAGTGTGCCCAGTGATAACCTCCGGGAAAAGTGCACCGGCGTTCACAAGAGTGACACCGAGATGCATTCCCAACCACCAAAACTCCTCAGAGCGAGTGGAAAAATGCACCAGTGAGTGCATAAAACCCTCGTTCGGCTTCCTAGACCTCTTCCCCAGTGATAAAAACCCCAGTGATACTCCAGTGATAGTGACAATGGACAGTGAGACCCAATAAAAGGCCGCACATGGCTCATGCCCTGCCATGGCGCCATTGTGCCCTCTCCGTTCACCAAGAGGTCTTGTTGAACAAGTAATGCACCTTTTGAGTGCATAATTAGTTCACTAGAATCCTCGAGAACGTATTGGGAATGTCCAGTGCCAATTTTAGTAGGAAAAAGTGGACAAAACATGCCTACAAGTGCACACATGCTCCTCACGTGCCGTGGGTGACGCTGTCGTGCACATGGCGGTTTACTCTCTGTCTAGAGCGAATTGAAGCCTCCAGTGAGTGCTCTTCTAGCTCAGTAAAGTTCCCCCAAGGTTTTAATTTATTAATTTAAGGTTTCTCGGAGGATCAGACCCCGAAAATCACGACATTGAAGCTCGTGAGCTCCAGGAATTTTCCTGTGACGCCATGACGCTCTTGATGGAGGACGGAATCGAATATGGGGCAAAATGGCACTCTTAAGTGACATTTGCACACTCGAGTTCCTCGTCCATTAATTTTCATTTATTATTCTGAGGAGATTCGCCGAGATCATCGCATTGGAATTAACCTGGCTTCAGATCCTCCAGCACTCCAGTTTCTGGACGATGCGGAGAGATCGTTGGCTTGAATTCTTCAGACCCCCCATTTCCCTTCGCGATAACCTCTCTCTCAAGGTCAATTCACGTACTCTCACTCTCGGGAATTTAATTGAATTTAATTTGGTTGAATTTAATTGAAATTAATTTATTTTATTTATGAAGAATAGAAATTCTATTTGAGTTGAAATATTATTGAGAAAGTGAATAAATCACGGAGTAAATTTAAAGTAATTCTCTCATCTCCTATTTAATTAATTTTCTGATTCTTCCCCTTGATTTTTCTGTATATTTTGTGGAATTCGCGACATCCTTCCTAAGACCGAGCGACCGATCCTACCCCGCTCTCCGAATACCTCCGAACTAGACGAGCTAATGCCGCAACCTCTCCCTTGATTTCTCCAATTATGGCTAAGTTTTTCGTATGGTTCTCTTTAATGTGGTTCGTTGACACCGCTGGAACAAAAGTCAGCTGGCGCCCGATAACATTTTCTCGTTTGTCCGTTTTTTTTTGTTTATTCGGTTTTCGAGGATTTTCATGGGGACATCGAGGAACAGAGGGCGAAGGTGACAACACTCCGGCTGTTTTGAGTTTCGCATTGAGTTATGGATAAGTCTACGGTTTATATTTTAAGTTTTGTGGTTCACGTTGGTTAGCGCCGTCACAGCANCTCTCTGTCTAGAGCGAATTGAAGCCTCCAGTGAGTGCTCTTCTAGCTCAGTAAAGTTCCCCCAAGGTTTTAATTTATTAATTTAAGGTTTCTCGGAGGATCAGACCCCGAAAATCACGACATTGAAGCTCGTGAGCTCCAGGAATTTTCCTGTGACGCCATGACGCTCTTGATGGAGGACGGAATCGAATATGGGGCAAAATGGCACTCTTAAGTGACATTTGCACACTCGAGTTCCTCGTCCATTAATTTTCATTTATTATTCTGAGGAGATTCGCCGAGATCATCGCATTGGAATTAACCTGGCTTCAGATCCTCCAGCACTCCAGTTTCTGGACGATGCGGAGAGATCGTTGGCTTGAATTCTTCAGACCCCCCATTTCCCTTCGCGATAACCTCTCTCTCAAGGTCAATTCACGTACTCTCACTCTCGGGAATTTAATTGAATTTAATTTGGTTGAATTTAATTGAAATTAATTTATTTTATTTATGAAGAATAGAAATTCTATTTGAGTTGAAATATTATTGAGAAAGTGAATAAATCACGGAGTAAATTTAAAGTAATTCTCTCATCTCCTATTTAATTAATTTTCTGATTCTTCCCCTTGATTTTTCTGTATATTTTGTGGAATTCGCGACATCCTTCCTAAGACCGAGCGACCGATCCTACCCCGCTCTCCGAATACCTCCGAACTAGACGAGCTAATGCCGCAACCTCTCCCTTGATTTCTCCAATTATGGCTAAGTTTTTCGTATGGTTCTCTTTAATGTGGTTCGTTGACACCGCTGGAACAAAAGTCAGCTGGCGCCCGATAACATTTTCTCGTTTGTCCGTTTTTTTTTGTTTATTCGGTTTTCGAGGATTTTCATGGGGACATCGAGGAACAGAGGGCGAAGGTGACAACACTCCGGCTGTTTTGAGTTTCGCATTGAGTTATGGATAAGTCTACGGTTTATATTTTAAGTTTTGTGGTTCACGTTGGTTAGCGCCGTCACAGCATTCGATCGATTCTTCGACTCGCTAATTTTGCTTGGAAACGATGCAGAATAGTTTGAAACGGAAAAATAAGAAGTTTGAGGACCATGTCTGTGTGTGATCATATCCAGTCGGTGGTCTTTTTTTCTTAAAATTGACGAATACACGAGAAAAATCATCCCAAATAATTTTAAATTTTATCAGTTTATTGGTATAATTTGGGGCTAACTCTACGTCAGAGTTCAGCTGAATCCGTCCATTATTTTTCTAGAAATAGCGATTTGTTTTTTTACGGTTTTTCCCAAATATCTCGGAAAATATCCAACCGATTTCAATATTTTTTTTCAAAATATTCGTCTTCATGTCCTCTATCTTGATCAATCAAAATATATATACGCGCTCATATGAAGGTTTATTAGGAGTTATATTGATTTTTCTATTTTTACCTCGAAATCGTTGTTCGGTCTCTAGCAAATGCAAAAATCGGAATATCAATTTGAAATTTGGCATGGAGGTATCTCTGATAATTACAATGGTTCGTATTGAATCTGGGCTAAATCGGATGATTAGTTACAGAGATATTCAATTGTGTATATAAGCTTAATTTCTTTAATAGATTAATACCGAGTTAACTTAGTGCAATAATTTTTTTCCAGAAATGTTCGTCTTTTTGTTCTCTATCTTAATCAATCAAAATGTATATAGTTGTTCATAGAATGTTTTCAAGATATTTGGATTTTTCTATTTTTTACTAAAAGTCGTAGTATGGTTTCTAGCTGACGGAAAAATCGAAATTCCAATTTGTTTTGAGATAAATTCTCAGTTTATGAATAATAATTGTACCTTCAATAATTACCGTGAGGAAATGAAGCAACGATTGGAATAATGTTCCTGTAAATAAATTCTCATAGAAGAAAGGAAATTGTGAAAATTTAATTTAATAAATTAGCAGTGGGCAGGAAAAAATACCACTTTCTAAGATTATGTGTGTCTCTGCGGGTGCCCAGCTGATATTCAACTTTTAACCAATCAAAGGTTTGAAGGCGTAGAAAAATTCAGAAAAGATCCCGAGTTTGTCAGATTATAGGTATTAATCAGGACTAACGCTCAGGACTAAAGCTTGATTTCAGCACAATCGACTCAGTTGTTTTGATGACATTGTTGCTCATGAACGTTTTTTTGAAAATAACTCGAAAATTACCCAAACGATTTCATTAAAAAAAAAAATTTTTTGTGATACCTGCCTGAAGAGTTCACATTTAGAAAAAGTTTTGTGCCCATAAAGTGCTTGTTGTACGCACGGATTTTATGGTGGCATAGGTTTTCTGTACATTCTTAGTAAAATCAAATTTTATTACGCTAAAAAACATTCGGAAGCCTACCATCAATTTATGGATGGCAAAGAAAGTACAAAAAAAAAATTGATGAGTGAGATGTTCACTGCCATATGCTCGCTGCCCCCTCCTTGTTTTTGTGTAGATTCCTGTGAAAAGTCTGTATCTTTGCAATGTGGCTTTAAAAAGAAATTGTGCGATAGAAGAGAGTTGGGAGATGTGGATTTTTTTATATAGTGATCACATTAGATTTTTTGTCATCGGTCACTTTTGATAGAAACCTCATATCGAAGTTATCATCTTCAATATGAATCGGCGCGAGGCGCGAGATGACTTTCAATTGAATGTCTTATAAAAAAAGACAGGTTTTAAAAAAAAACATGTTTACATTTGTGACAATAAACGTGAATGTCGATTTCCAGACAATTCCGATGTTTTCTGATAATCTATGATTTTTGAACAATCAAAATGCCAAATTTTCACCCGGCTCAGTTTTGGAAGAATGTACTTTTTTCATATTCTTTGCAGCACATCATACCATCCTACTATTTTTTCGACGTATTGGGTATTTTCTCCCCCATGTCTTTGAAATATACATTCTGTGAAATGTGCGTCCTCGCGGGAATCTTTTGAAGTGAATCTATATCTGTCCTCAAAGCAATATTCATACCAAAAATTGCGTAGTCTATATAAACCATATATATGTCCCCATAGTAGCTGTGCAATGAACAGCTCCATACAAGTCCTCATACTCAACATTATATATATATATATATATATATATATATATATATATATATATATATATATATATATATAATATATATATATATATATA